TTTTTTTTTTTTTTTTAACTTTGCTAGGTTTGTTGAGAACCTACCTAGGTGCGAGCTGGGTTCACGATGAGTGCACGCCCAAACTCAGGCAGATGTTGGGTTTGCGACAAGCACACACCCAAACCCAAGTGTGCGCTAGGTTCACAACGAGCATGCGCTCGAACCTAGGTGCACACCTGGGTTTGGGTGCAAGCTCATGGTGAACCCAACGTGTGCCTTGGTGGATTCGCGACGAACCCAGCTAAGTTTAAAAAAAAAAAAAAAAAAAAAGCCAAATGGGTGAAGATGTTGACGTGGACTCAAAAATATGTCCACGCCATTTTTTTTTACAATTGAATTTTTCATATCACACAATTTCGTTAATTAACTGTTATCTATTAAAAAATTTAATGGAGGGACCAAAAATGGGTTGGATTTCAATCTTTAAGGACTAAAAAGAGATTTTTTCAGGGATAAAAAAAGCTTTTTTCAATAGTAGAGGGACCAAAAAGGATATTTAACCTTTTTAATAATAATATATATTTTTTAATTAATTAATTTTTTAAATTAACTAATTAATATTGTATAATATACATATCTTTAAGTGATATTTTTTAAAATAAAATAATGATATATTTTTTATTTTAATTAATAATACATGTACTTCAATAATTTTTATAAATTACTTCTTAAATTTAATTAAACTATTTAATTAATGAAGAATTTTTTAACATGTTACTTAATTTTCTCATTAATTATTATGAAAGGAATTTTTTAAATTTAGGTGAGTGCATATTAAAATTGTAATAAATATATTTTTTTCATGTATTTATATTGAAATAATAATATTATTTTTTAATTTTTTAATTAAATTTAATAATGTGACAATGATACTAAAATTAATATTAATTTTTATTTTTTATATAAATTAATAATAAAAAGGTGTACCTAAAAGCAAAAATTAAAAAATCTTGACATTTTAAATATTATGACTTCTTTTAAAATTATTTAAATACTCTTAATGAATATTTTTTTATTTATTGAATGTACTTTAATCTTTTTATTATTATTTATGGTATTTTAATTGCATTTCAAAATTGTTTAAAAAACAATTAAAATGTCAAAAATGAAAATGAGAAAACTAAAATATCTTTAGAAAATCAAGATAAAAAAAATATTTATTAAAAATATTTAAATAATTTTATGAGAAGTTTTAAAATTTAAAATGTCAAATTTGTGC